GCTGAAACAGAAAAAAGTCAATATTGCATCTAAAAAGTCAATATTGCATATAAAATTGTAAGTGACTTGACTTGTGTGTGTGACTATGTTTGTTGTAGTGATAAGAGTTGCACCCTTGTTAAAGTTTAAGGCCTTGTGTTTTTGGATATATATCTTTCTTTCTTTTTTTTTTCTTTTTTACAAAATATGAATATAACCCATAATATTTTAGATTTATTATTTGCTTTAATTTTATGACTAAAAAAGGACACATAAAGTGTGTTATAACTTTGCTCAATTTACCTACAGTACAAAACTTACCACGTATATTGTTCTCGTCAAGCCGATCAATTTTCCAATTTAAAGTCATTCGCTCTGAGCAACAGAAAGTCAGATATTGTAGTTTGAATGGATTTATTTCCCTGCGATTCTCTCTCTCTCTCTCTCTCTCTCTCTCTCTCTCTCTCTCTCCCTCTCTCTTCTCTCCTCTGTGTGTGTGTGAGTGGGTGTGGTGTCCTGTGTGGGGAGGGGAGGGCTGTTGTCTGTGTTTATGTGTGTGTGTTGTGTGTGGCTGGCTGCGATTTTTTCCTACAAGTCCTTGTCTCTAAGTCCTTGTCTTTTTGCATAACAATTTTGCATAACAATATTTTTAAATGACAAAATAGGCATATAACCCCCATCTTTAAATGTATAGTTTGCTTTAAATAAAAGTAAGATTGTATTTGTAATTGAAGTTGAATGAATTTAAAATTCATGTGCTATATTTTCAATATATTTGTTTTCCTTAAGATTTTTAAAACACTAACTTCATTCTTATCTGAATTACAAATATTTGTTTCTGTATAAAATAATACTCTGACTAAAAACACATTTGATGTTTTTTTTTTTTTTTTTGGATTTTTATTTACATGTATTTATGTGTGTGTGTGTGTGTGTGTGTGTGTGTGTGTGTGCTGTGTGTGTGTGTGTGTGTGTGTGTGTGTGTGTGTATAAAGTGCAGGGTTTTTTTTAGATAAAAGAATTTCTATAACTATGTTTGAACTAATAAATCACTCTTGTGTGTGTTAAACACAATCTACTTAATACAGACAACTTCATTATAAAGATAAATAACAAATCCAACAAATATATGATTATAATCTATGACAAAAAAAGCCATTACAAACTATATTAATGGAAAATACACATTGCTCTTTGTATTGTTGTAAAATATTCATGAAAAACAAGATAACAAAAATCAAAAAGATAAATTATTTTAGATATAGCCATGTTTTAAATGTATAGCAGAGATGTTAATTGAGGCAGCAACATACAAACTTTCTAGAACAACATGGACCTGAATAGCTGGTTTTTATGGAGGACAGTGAAGAGGAAGAGGGTGCAAATCAAACAGCTCATTCTCAGACTACACAGCAAAACAGCTTAAGTTTTTAGTGCTTTGTTTGAGGTTTTAGTGCTCTGTCCTATCTATTATCAACATATAATAGATAGAACAGAACAAGAAAGGCAATTAATAATCTGTCATTGCGTCACTGCATTATGATATGAAAGGCTCAGTACAGTGTGGCACAAAACGCTTATGCGCATCCCGAGTGGAGAATGATGCGCTTAAAGCCACATGGAGTTACAGCGCACAGCGCATCGAGTCCGCATTGATGCAAGCTCTACAATACACTTCTTTTTGATAGTCAAAGTGGGGGTTACGTTTTTACACGTCGTACAGAATAACCCTAAAGGCACCAAGGTGGCGGTGCCACCGGCTTTATATTAAATATAAATATAGATGTGAGCAGCGATAAAGCGCCAAAGCCGGCGGTACCACCATCCCGGTGCCTTTGGGTAACTAAAGGCATCGGGGTTGCGGTGCCACCGGCTTGGGCCCGCCATCGCTGCTCGCAGCTATATTTATTATTATTATTTTCAGGGAGCAAGGAGCAGACAGCAATTAAATTGTGGTCTAGTATTTTGTATTCAAAAGAAGTATTTTGTATTCATATCCTGATGTGTCATATTTTGTTAAGGTTGCACTAATATTAAGATTGCACTCATGTCCTATTTTTTTTTTTTTTTTAATCAGTGGTTCCCTTTTGTTTTAGAAGGATTCTGTACTTGAAAAATATACTAGAAAATATACTTGCTGGGGAAGGTCATTTGTATATTGCTCATATATGTTAATTGTGATTGTATATTGTCTTTATGTTATGTTGTATTCTGCACTGTCTGGAGCATGCTCTTAAGAATTTCACTCATTACGACACGTTGTTAGTGATGTGACAATAAAGGATTCGGATTCAGATTCAGATTCAGGTGACTCCCATGCAGGACTATATAAGTAAGAAAGTTTGACAAGTCTTTGTTTAAATGTATTGTGCTGTTGTTGTTAACAGGCATGCTTTATTTGCTCTACCTTAGGATTGCAAGTGTCCTGGGACTGGTTAGGGTGGGTGTCAAGTTCCCTCACTCTAGTGAAGTTTATCCCTGTAGTTTTCCCCACTTGAAAGGGTATGCTTGTTTTTGAAGGTTTAGACTGGATTTTACTCAACGACCAGGAATCAATTCTTTCTTTTCTTTTCTTTTATTTGAAAGTTGTCATGGCCAAAAGCAGGTAAAAACCTTAAACACAAACACAATTAAAACAAAAACACAATAAAGTAACCATAATAAAGCATCATTCTTGAGGACACTTTTCAAATAAAGACACTTTTAAAGCACTGCTAAAATGATTTTTACCTTAACTCTAGCAGCTTTTTAACCCCTTTAAAACTTTACAATACATTTCTTTTAACTATGCTTTTAAACCTTCATAATGTTAAATGTATAACACTTCAGGTTACAATTCAAACACATGATTCTTTTACACAATCTTTAGCACATGATTTTATACACACATTTTACCCTAAATATAATTAGATGATTCACTTTAATATTAAAATCCACCACACTGCACAAATGGATGCTCACCGACTCCTTCCTTGTTCAAACAAGCTTTAGTCCTGCAATCTCATTTTCCCAGCTCCTCAGCACATCATTCCAGCCTGCTGAACACTCTGTGAGTGACTCCAAGACACCTAATCACCAGATCCTTCCCACCTGGTGACTAACTAGCTGACTGCAGATAGGCACCACCCCCAACACCAGGAGGGGCATGGTCTGCAGCTCAGCTCAACAGTGGGTTGGAAACCCACTGCTGAAACTTGGCCCTGGTTTTTCCTTATGGATAAGATGTCGGGACACTGGCACTCCACCAACCCCCCCTGTCCTAATCACCTCCATTTCTGACAGACCTGGGCCGAGTTCAGCAGTGTGTGACCAAGAAGAGGATGAGCCAGCAGAAGGAGGACCAGCATCAGCACCATCACCATCACCAGCATTAACACCATCATCAGCACAGCACCACAAATAAGGCGAGACCAAGAGGATGAGTTTTTGGACTTGATTTAAGAAGACATGGGACTGCAGAGGCGAGGAGAGTAGGAAGAGGATGGACAGGCTGTTTTCTCTTCTTGAAATAATTTTATATATATATATATATATATATATATATATATATATATATATATATATATACGTATATATACACACACACACACACATACACACTGTGTTTGACCCTCTTTTGCTATCAGAACTGCATGTTTTACATGACATTGATTCAACAAGGTGCTGGTGGCTTCTTTAGAAATATTGGCCCATATTGATAGGATAGCATCTTCCAGTTGATGGAGATGTGTGGGATGCACATCCAGGGCACGAAGCTCCCATTTCACCACATCCCAAAGATGCTCTATTGAGTTCAGATCTGGTGACTGTGAGGGCCATATTAGTACAATGAACTCATTGCCATGTTCAAGAAATCAATTTGAAGTAATTCGAGCTTTGTGACATGGTGCATTATCCTGCTGGAAGTAGCCATCAGAGGATGGGTACATGGTGGCCATAAAGGAAAGGACATGGTCAGAAACGATGCTCAGGTAGGCTGTGGCATTTAAACGATGCCCAATTGGCACTAAGGGGCCTAAAGTGTGCCAAGAAAACATCCCCCACACCATTAGACCACCACCAGCATGCACAGTGGTAACAAAGCAGGTCTCTACCATCTGAATGTCTCAACAGAAATCGAGACTCATTAGACCAGGCAACATTTTTCCAGTCTTTAACTGTCCAATTTTGGTGAGCTCTTGCAAATTGTAGCCTATTTGTCCTATTTGTAGTGGAGATGAGTGATACCCGGTGGGGTCTTGCATTCATTACTTACATTCCGGGTCTCTCACACACAAAAGGCATGTGTCTTATCCACTGCACCATCACCACCACTTCTGCTGCTGTTGTAGCCCATCCGCCTCAAGGTTGTGCATGTTGTGGCTTCACAAATGCTTTGTTGCATACCTCGGTTGTAACGAGTGGTTATTTCAGTCAAAGTTGCTCTTCTATCAGCTTGAACCTGTCGGCCCATTCTCCTCTAACTTCAAGCACAAACAAGGCATTTTCGCCAACAGCACTGCCGCATACTGAATGTTTTTTTTTCCATTTTCACGCCATTCTTTGTAAACCCTTGAAATGTTTATGCGTGAAAATCCCAGTAACTGAGCAGATGTGAAATACTCAGACCGGCCTGTCTGGCACCAGCAACCATGCCACGCTCAATTGCTTAAAGGTTCTCTGAGCGATCCTGGGTGTTGACGTTCGGAATATTTTCAAACAAATCGGAGGCTAGCTAGACCCTCCCTCCTCCGCATCTCATCTCCTCCCCCTCCCTTCCGTCCTTCCTGAAATAATTGTGAACATGCTTTTCTAGCTAATTATATCCTTGTGTGGGTTTGGCGAACATAAGCGTCAATTTAGAAGAAAAAAAACAATTTAACGTTACCCACCTGTCCAGCAAAAACAGAGCAACCTGAATGTCGGACTGGAAGCCCTTCTGCCGCCGGAGTTCTCGCCATCGTTAAAAAGCTTTGCTACCGATGTAAATTCGGAACTTCGCACGTTCTTTATCCGACTCCTTCTTTTTAATTTGTTCCTCAGAACGACGTCTCTTTGGTCGTGTTTCGGCCATTTTTCAAACTTCCCTCTTATGCTTCTCTCTCCTTCACACACACACCCTCTTCATGTGCACGTGCACTAACCCCCCAGACCCACCCTCAAATACTTCTTGCCAGTGATTGGCTGGAACACTGTTTGTTAGGTTTCGTGGTCCGGGTGAGACATGATTGTTTTTGTTGCCGTTTTTGGAGCCTGTGGTGTCTACAGAGACCGCGTTTTTTTACAGTGTGTTTAGGGGACAGGCAGCTAGCCGATAGTGAGGAGATGTTTGATGTATGTGACAAAAAATGTTTTGGCCCCACATCGCTTAGAGAACCTTTAAATCACCATTCTTTCCCATTCTGAAATTCAGTTTGGAACTTTGCACGTTGGAACTTCCGGGCCTTCGAAGGATGCACCCTTCACATTGAGATACAGCTACTGACTACTGCCTCCTGCAGGTATGAAAAGGTATTTCCTCAATCGCAGAATGTATGTGCTAGTTGGCCGATTTTGCTGGTTAGGCTTTTATTTTTTTTTATGTTGGCTTGGTGTGTCAAATACTTAACAAGCACTGATGTTGCTTCATAAGCTGACAGAAACTGCATCTGTGTAAAAGCCTCTGGCTATGAGAATTGTGTCATTGTGTTGGGCCTTCCTGACTACGCAAAATTGTCAATTCAACAGTGCATATCGCACCTTTGCCCCCAGGAGCTGTAAGTAAAGTGCAAATCTCCAATTACCAAGCTCCTTCTCAGCAGAAAAAGCCAAGCCTCCAGCAACAGCTCACTCTCTTTCTCTCTCTCTCTCTCTGAGATGTTGCATGCTGAGAGTAAGTGCAAGTTTTTCCTTACAGTTAAAACTATTTTTTTTCTATCTGTTTTAATTATTTTATTTATTTACTTCACTTTCTGGATCACTGATTATTGTATTTAAGTTTGCGAGGCATTTTTAGTAAACGGGACGACTTCTTACCCTGTGTGGGAAGAGCCATCTCTGTCACTTCGGAATGGTTTCTGGAGCGTTCCCGAGGCAGGTACAACAATTGAGGAGGTGCTATTAGCAACACGAAAACAGGTAGGCCATTAAAACATTATTTTTGCATCTCGTATGAACAAGGCAGTTGTCCTCTTTTTTTAAAAACAAAACAAAAAACAACAAAAAAAAAAAACAACAACTACCAATCAGGATAATTGAAAGTGCCATTTGGTTGAAGGAAACATTTGTACTCCAGCTACAAAAGTGATGTGGGGGCCACATTGGCCAATGTATCCTACCTCCTTTTATCAAAGATGACGCAATCATGCTATAATTATTTTGGAAAGATGGCTAGCGCTGTAAAAACAATTCTCTTGGGTCATACATTTACCGAGCTTAAGCATGTATTGTCTTTTAGATGACAAATGTTTATGGTTTTGACAGCTTCTACTAAAACACTGGATGCTGGATATGGTTTACGCGACTACAGCAAAGGTTTTCACAAAGTTAGATCTTCGCAACGCTTGCCATTTCGTTCGTATCAAGGAAGGAGATGAGTGGAAAACGGCATTTAATACACCCCATAGGGCACTTTGAATATCGGGTTTTACTGTTAAGTTTAGTCAACACCCCAGCTGTCTTTCAGGCTTTAATCAATGACATCTTAAGAGACATGCTAAACATTTTTGATTTTGTTGGTCTTGATGACAGTTTGATTGTTTCCCCTTCTCTCCAGGTGCATACACTGCCCATTCAGCGCGTTCTACAACGTCTTCTGTAGAATAGTTAAATTTGTAAAAACGGAGAAGTGCACTTTTCATGCTCAGTCGGTCACGTTTTAAGGCTCAGGCATTTCGGTGGAGGGGATCAGCATGGATCTCTCCAAGGTCCACACAGTCACTAACTGGCCCATTCCAAACTCTCGCGTTGTAATTCAATGGTTCCTGGGGTTCACAAATTTTTATCGACGATTTATTCGTAACTTTAATCGAGTCGCTTCCCACTCACGTCTAACAAGACCCGTTTTGTTTTGTCTGCATCTGCTCTTGTCGCTTTTGATCTCTTTTACGTCTGCTCCCATTCTTTCCACCCAGGACATCTTTAGGCAGTTTGTCGTTGAGGTTGATGCATCGGAGGTGGGCGTGCAGGCAATCCTCTCCCAGTGTTCCTCCTCTGAGAAGATTCACCCCCTGTGCGTATTTTTTGGGGAAAAAATATTTTTTCAAACGAAATTATGATGTCGGTAATCGCAAGGGGTGAGTGGCGTCATCAGCTTTTGTTTCGCTGGATTTGATTTCACGATATCCTACTGTCCAGGTTCAAAGAATGTCAAGCCCGACACCCTCTCACATCAGTTCGCTTCCCCAGAGGTTGTGCCAACCCAGCAGGACATCCTTTCTCAGGGCTGTGTGGTTAGCACAGCGGTCTGGGGAATTGAGCATCTTGTCAGACAGGCTCTCTCACACTGCATCACGCAGCGCGGGTTCCGCCCAACCGACTGGCCGTCCTTCAGTGGGGGCATTCATCAAAATTGTCTGCCCATCTTGGTGTTAGAGGCCTCTGGTCTGTCAGTCAGAGGTTCTGGTGGCTCACCAGGGAGCGTGATATTCGCCGCTTTGAAGTGGGTATAAATTCGGAAGTAGATGCACGCACCATTTGCTTTTCGCTGAGGAGCCACTTGGAGTCAGTGGTGATCCAGCGGTAGTGGTTCCCTCCTTCAGGGAACGGTGGGTTGCATACACAACCAGGACGTTCCCTTTCAGTTGATAACGTCGGACGTAGTTGACTTCGAGTGAAATGGGATCCAACCTTTGAAAACACCACTAATGCTGCCACTTTCCAGTGCCTAGGCAAAAGCTTCCTAATCCTCCTGACATGCTAGCGGAAGAGGATAGGGCTTAGGCCAGGAGGTCACTGCTGTTACACAATACCCGCTCAGTACAGACATAGTAACACTGGGAAAGCATGCCCTGAACATGGAAGGAAGGAATACTGTGGAGCCACATCCAACATGGATGGAGGTAATGTGGAGAATACACATATGAACTTGGGCGGATGACCGAGCAGCAAACCATAAGGAATAGGGACTTTAAGCAACAGCTGCTGATAGAATGACGACGGCAGCCGGAAGTAAACTGTTAACTGCCGTAGCTAAAGAGCGTAAAAATCACTAAGCAACAGTAAAGAGGACGGCATAGGGGATAATTGAATCATCAGACAAAATACAAAAAGAAAGTGATTTTAAAAAGTAAGAGAAGGGTTGATTTTAGCACTTAATGATATACAGAAACGATTTCAATGCCACATAACCTAAAACATAATTAACTGTCTTAATCTGTCACGTAGTAACGACTACGGCAAATCAGCTGTTCTCCCGTAGTAGACGGTTAAAGTAGAACGTCTCGAAGAAGCAGTTAATG